AAGTACAAGCATGGCTCTTGCCACTCTAAGAGCAAAGGGATGGTAGCCTGCTTTTCCTCAAGACAGGAGGTCATCCAGTGAATACTCTAACTGCATATTGGCTGCAGGGGGGCTTCGTGGTATTCTTCACACCTGTGTCCTCATCGCCACACCCAGGGTGTGGGCTCACCCATCAGGTGGGTCATAGTGAGCACAAATGCTTTCACATCTGCATCCCCAGCCCTGAGCCCTCACCTGGTGCCAGGCCTGCCTTGCCAACTGCTGGAGGATCTTTGCCTTGGAAAACTCGTCATAGCAAAGCCAGAGCTCCCCATCTACCCCCGCCCCCCTGTCTCCCGTCCATGTGCATATTGCACTTTGCTCATCCTCTGCGTTCCTGTGTGATTAGTCCCTCTAATTCCTTCTTTCTTCACTCCAGCCTGTCATCGAGTCTTGCCAATTCTCCCTTCAAAATGTCTTTTGAATCTATCACTTCCTCTCCACTCCCACTGCCCCTGCACAATATAGTCATTTGATTGGATTATCATTTAAGCCTGTTGTGGACTGAATGTTCATGTCCCCCCCAAATTCATACGTTGAGGCCCTAACTCCTGTGATGGTATTAGCAGGTGGGGCCTTTGGGAGGTGATTAGGGTTAGATGAGGTCATGAAGGTGGGTCCCCAGGATGAGATTATAAGAAAAGGAAGAGAGACCAGAGCACTCTCTCTCTCTCTCTCCTGCCTCCCCTCACTCCCTCTGCCATGGGAGGACAAAGGGAGAAGAGGGCCATTTGCAAGCCTCGAAGAGAACCCTCACCAGGAACTGAATCATCTGGCACCTTGATCTTGGACTTTCCAGCCTCCAGAACTGTGAGAAATAAATGTCTGTTGTTTAAGCCACCCAGTCTATGGTATTTTATTATGGCAGCCCAAGCTGACTAGGACAGCCTCCTACTCAGTTTCTCTGCCCCCCCCATCCCTTTGTGGAATATTAGTTTCTTTCATGGCACTTATCATTGATTGTAATAATGTAGTTGTTAGTCTATCAGCTTGGTGTTCATCTTCATAACCAGATGGCCCCCTCCATGAAGCTGTGCCTCTTTTGTTCACCCTTCTGGACCCAGGGCTGGGCACCATGGCTGGCACACAGTAGGTGCTTAATAATAGACTTGTTGAAGGAATGAAATGCTGACTACAATAAATGCCTCCAACCAGCCTCCCTGCATCCTGTCTCTCCCTTCTGACTCAAGCCTTACCCTTTGGCTGGGGTTATCTTTATAAAACACTAATTTCACCCTACCCAACCCTTTCTGTCCTAGTCTTTATTGGGTCCCACCACCCTTTTTGACTGTTTATGGGAGCTAGGTGAAGATATGATCCAGCTGATACTGAGGAAAGGTGCTGTGGGTCATTAATAAAAATGCATTTAATTTTAAATTGTGGCTTTGCTGTAAAAGAAACCCCCAAACCCATGAGCACTACAGGAAATGGCTGAGTCATGCCTCCCACTACCTAGTGTCCTCTAGATTGGGGCTTGATAAAATCAGCCCTAACTGCTTGAACCTGCCTTACATGGTTACCAGCGTGCTGTCCCAGGTGGGCACAGCCTGCAGCTCCCCTTTTTCTGCTGTTCCCATGCGGGGCTCAGAGAACTTCCGCCCCGCAGTGCAGTGTGGGCTCTGTGGGTGTGACCGTTCTTAAGGATTGTGTATATTCTGTGATAGTGTGTGTTTTCGGGGTAGGTGGGGCGGGATAGAGATCTTTTGGGGAAGTCAAGGCAGACTCTTTCACTGCAGCTATTTACAAATTTGGGAAAACACAGTTCAATAGAATTTCCTCTTCAGTCAATGTTGGCCCATTTCCTCTCTCTTTTTACCAAGAGGAAGTTCCATTAGCTCATAGAAACGCAGAATCACGCATTCTTCAGCCTGGAAAAGCCCTCGAAGAAGGTTACTCAGTTTAAGAACAAATGGGATCTTCTGTTGGGGACTTTAATCCAAATTCCTGAGAAGCCTGGAAGTGTCCCACCACCCAGCTGCTTGGAAGAACTCTCTCAATTTCTCCCACAGTCTCAGCTGTGCTGGGCAGTCAGAGTAGCTTAAAGCAGAGGAGACCGAGCACAAGCTCCCACTCATCCTACAGAAGGGAAGCAGGCACAGCCAGCAGCCGGAGCCCACGGCCTCAGACCACATTCCCTCCTTGGAGCTGCTCCATGTTTCATCTCTTCCAACCAAACTGGCCCCAGTTCCTTGAGGATGATTCCTCTCAGTCTCTGAATCTTTATATTCACCTCTCTATCAGTCTTCACCCGACCCGCCTCGGGGGCTTTTTCCTTGGCGGACAGAAGCCATCTCCAGCACTCACTTCCAGGAGAAAGTGACCAACCCCACACCTCTTACCAATCAGACAAGACTGAGCAGGTCCCAAATGGTGTGAGATTAGTCAAGTTCTCTGAAGATGATAGAATCAGCGCTTCCCCAGAACAGGTTATCTTCTGAGTGAAAGGGAGAGAGGCATCGTTGGAGATGACACAGGGGAAAAGAGATGAGGTGCCCCCGGTGACCTCCTCGAGGATATAGGCTGGGATAAAGAGCAAAGTGCACCAGAGACTCACACCACGGGCCCTGGGTTCGCTCCACCTGCTGGGCTGAGCTTGGGGAGAGATTCAAACCCACGTGTGGCTTTTCGTGGAAGGAGCAGGCCGCTTTTAAAAGAGAATGCAGAGGCTTCCACACTTATGAGAAGCACCCCAGGACGCACCTCCAGGTTGAGGGGAGCAGGTGGTGGGGCTCCAGGGAGGTCCGGTTTGCTGTCTTCATGGAAAGGAGGGGCTTACAGGGTTTCCTTTCCAAGCTGTCAGAATTCACATCCAAAACACACTGTTATGCTTTCTACCATTTCCTTTTCAGTTTCTGAAAGAACCCCTTTTACTCTTTCATTTACATACATTTTCGTGATCTCTTTCATTACATCATATACTCTTTACATACTTTACATTACATTCATTACGTACTCTTTCATTACGTACTCTTACATACATTTTCATTCTTTCATTTTCACGAAAAATGTCCATTTCCCTTTACAACTTTAAAAGCCAATGACAGCTATTTATACACGGGACACCACATGCATGGCAGGGTGTTAAACTCTTTACACATGATCTCATTTAAACATGCCATGAGGAATTATTATTTGCATTGTATAGATGAGGGAACAAACTTAGAGAGGATAAGTAACCTGCCCAAGGTCACAGACAATAAACGTTAGCATGAGAACTTGTACCTGAGTCTGTCCGATTTGAGCCTGAGTCCTCGTTCCTGTTACCTTAAAGTGACATCACATATCTCATTCATTATCATCCTTAATTATCAACAACTTGGGTCCTCCACCAGCCACTGTGTCATCAGAAATCTGACTGGTTTCACAAGATTCCTGTGGTCCTGACAATTTATTGGAATAAAAAATATACATCGCTCATTTACAGAGCTTGGTGTTCAAGGCACATTCACATCCACTTCCTCAGTGGAACCTCACATCCCTACGAAAGAAACAAGTCAGGTTTTACAGATGAGGAAACTGAGGCCCCTCAGTGTACAGATGAGAAAACAGATAAGGAAAAGTGACTGTCCCAAGGTCACACAGTGCTAGAAACAGTGGAGTCAGAATTAGAACTCCCAGGCTCTTGAAATACCCAGAATTCTTTCACTGTACTCTGCTGCCTCGTCAATAAATAAATGAACAAAATAAATAAATAAACCTTCCAAGGAAACCCCGAGGAGTCCGCCCTCAAGCCTAAGCTTCCAGAGGGAGTTGTTATCAGACTGGCACCTAAAAACTTCTTGGCAGAGTGCAAGGGGTTCTGGCTGGATTTCCTGGGCCAGAATGTCTATTCTCAGAATGCCACAGAGAAGTGCAGGGCCATGTGATGACTCTGGGGGGCATTCCCCAGGCCTGTCACTTCTCCCAGCTTCCGGGTCCATGGACTGTAAACTGGCTTTGAAGACAGATTCCAAACTGACTGTGGGGACCAGGGCCTACAACTGCCCCCTTTCTGGGCCCAGTGTCTGGAAGCTCTCTTAGCATGATGCCATGCTGAGATCTGTTGGTCCTCAGCCTGAGAAAGAAGCTGGCTCTGTGCAGACATGGGTTCCAGACTCTACTTTCTCCCAGCTTAGGGTCAGATAGGGTTGGCAATGTCACCCCAGAGGACAGCTTGGTTAACATTCAGCATGGACGGCCCCTTATTTCACAGATGGAGTAACTGAGGCCCTTTGAGAAGTGGCTGGACCAAGGTCACACACCTGAACGCTGAGACAGCAGGGATCCCAGCCCAGTGCCCTGTCCTGTGGGTCTGTAGCTGGATGTTAGCAGCAAACAAAAGTGCAGGTACCAACCCTGACATTCTGGGGCAGATGAGCTGGCACCCAAGTCCAGAGGCCGTCTCAAGGGCTGAGTCGTGACCAATACAAACAACCATGGTTTCTCTGGTACTGTCAGCAAGATGGTGGGGACAGCAGGGTGGGGATAGGGAGTGGCTTGGCCACTGCAAGTGCCCCAGGGGGATGCCACCTGATTTGCTGGAAAGCAGCAGCTGTCTGCAGATGGACAAAAGACATCCCCAGAGGGACCGGTTCCAAGCCAGAGGCCCCATTCTGCGTCTCAGCTCCCCTGTAGCTCTATAACGATGGCTGATTGACTAACTGGCTGATCAGGGCAGACACACCTTAAGATCTTCCATGACAAGCTCCCTGCTTGGGAGGCTGGCCAGTGGGGGAGCTTCTCTCTGTGACCACCCCAGACTGACGGTCAGCTCTGACCATCCCAGAGGTCAAACTTGGTCTCTGCTCCCTCCTTTTTCCCCTAGAAATGACCCCTGCAGCAAGTTCTGGAGGCCCCCATCATCCCAGCCCTCAGTCCTGCTGGAGGCCCTGATACATAGCCGGCCTAAGGGGAAAGCCTGGGTCTGAGGTGACTTCAGTCTGGCGGCCTCACCACAACTCCAGAAAACACCACAATTCCCCTGAGCAAATAATCCTTTACAAAACAGGAAGAGTCCCAAGGAGGGAGGAGGTCTCTGCCGTGCCCTTCTCAGCTCTGCCAGAGTCTGCAGGGCCCTGTCTGCAGAATAGGCCAATGCCACCCACGTGCGCTGTGCTGGTTTAGCGAGACAGCCTCCTCCTGCCCCTGGCACCCTAGCCAGCCATGCCAGGCCTGGCTAAGGCTGGCATCACTGGGCTTGCAGAAGAGTGCCCAGGCTGGCCTCGTGTTTCACTTCTGACCCCTGGGGCCCCTCTTCCTGGTCCAGGGATGGCTAAAATCAAAAGCAGCCCCTTAGCCTGAGTCACTCACTCGAGTGCAGACTGGAGATCAGCGGCAGGGTGACCAGGTCTGAGTCAAACGTGCCCAGGAGACCGCCCGGGGCTGCCACACAGTCCAGAGGGGCAAGATCATGGGCAAAGCTCCAGTCAGATGTTCCGAGGTCACCACAGCTGGTCAAGCCCAGGAGTGACCATTCCTCAGTTGGTTGGTTCCACTGTCCAGCTGGGGCCCCTGAGGGAGCAAGAGTCATTCCTGGGGAGTCCTGTTTCAAATAGCCCTTGGCCAGTGCTGGTGGAGGCCAGCCTGCCTCAGCATCCAGGCACGTCCTGAATTTGGGGCCAAGGCCATCTGTTGAGGAGGACTCTTCCTCCAGGCAGCCTGCCTTGGCTTCCTTCTCCTCTGTGCATCTGGTCTGCTTCATGTAGCCCTGGAATGCCACCGCAGCTGGTTCTTCTTCCCCAGACACCTCAGGTCTCGGGGAACTGACATGGCCCAAGGCTGAGCTACCCTGTGTCTCCCCAGGCCGCCCCTCAGAGTTTTGGACTAGGCCAATGCCACTGTCATCCTGGCCCTGGCTGTTGTTCCCCTCCCGCTGCTCCCAGTTGGGCCCTGTGCCAGGACTCAGGCTGGGCTCCTGCAAGCAGATCCCGCTGTCCGTACTGCTACTGCTGCCGCTACTGCAGCTGTTCTCCAGCTCGGGGGGCACCCCCTTTCCCAGAGCCTCCTCGGCCTGGGGGTGGGGAGCAGGGAGGAGGAACTGGGGCTCTTCAGTCTGCAGGGATGGCTTGGCACTGTCAAAGCCACTGTCCGTGCTGCCGTGCAGCTCCGAGTTCCTCAGCTCTGGGGACACCTTGGGGAAGGCCTCCTCGTCGAGGGGATAGATGGTGTCATGGGTCTCTGGGCAGGGAAGCTGGCTGATGAGGCTGAAGGGACTGGGCTTTTCGAAGACCTGGAAAGGAGAGAGCAGAGTGAGGGAGGCGGAGGGTCACCTGCAGGAACCCACCCCAGTGAGGCCAGGTGAGGCCATGGGGCCAGGAGGGGAGCTCAAGGAGGTGCTGCTCCAACAGAGGGGACCCCAGAGCCAGATTACACTGCCACTTGTTCTCTTTGTTTCATTTCAGAATCGAGTTTTCCTCCTAATTCTCAGTTTGGCTGAATACCCATATATAAATAGCCAATAAATATATAACTCATATATAAATTCACAAAATAATGCTTATCATCACTACTTGTGTACCATGATCTAATCTAATCTATTTTATTCTATCTCGTCTTATCCATTTCGTTTTTTTTTGTTTGTTTGTTTTTTTGGGGAGGAAGATTGGCCCTGAGCTAACATCTGTTGCCAATCTTCCTCTTTTTGCTTGAGGAAGATGGTCTTTGAGCTGACATCTGTGCCAGTCTTCCTCTATTTTGTATGTGGGACACCACCACAGCATGGCTTGATGAGCGGTGTGTAGGTCCGCACCCTGGATCTGAACCCGTGAACCCCAGGCTGCTGAACCGGAGAGTGCGAACTTAACCACTATGCCACTGGGCCGGCCCCTCCATTGTGTTTTTTTAAATGCTAGATGTGAGACAAATTAATCTCTCCACTGCCTGAGTTGTGACTCACACAAACAGAGGGTGGCTGCAGTGTGGGGCAGCGGAACAAGCGCAGGACTAGCAGCTGAGGAGGACCTGCTCCCCACTAATTGCCAAGGGTCCCAGGGAAGTCACTTAACACTTGATCCTCTGCCCCAGCCCCATTGCTGTTCTTTCTGCCCCAGAGCACAACAGTGTAGTGCCGTCCCAGGGCCTTTGCACCTGCTACTCCTTCTGGTTGGAATACTCTTCTCTCAGTGCTTTGTATGGCTGTGTCCTCCTTATCATTCAGGTCTCAGCTCAGATGTCATCTCCTCAGAGACCTTCCCAATCGCCCTGGGACTCCAGACTCTCTCTCCACATTAACCTAGTTTACTTCTTCCTAGCAATTAGTTCCTGGAATTATTTTTTTATTTGTTTTTGCCCCCACCCCCACCCTCACCAACACACACCTACACACACAATCATTCCCCACTCCCAACAGAATACAAGCTCCTTGAGGGTAGTTGCTATCTAGACTTGGTCACCACTCTGATCCCAGAGCTTAAACTGAGCTGACACACAGTAAGCACTCATAAGGTTTGTTGACTGACTTACTGTTGCACATCTGCCCTCATTCCCTTTGTACGTGATGACTCTAATGCAACTCTTATTGGTCGAGTGCCTATTAATATTATATTAATATTACATAGCTTGATGATTAAGGATGTGTATGCCGGAGCCAGACGTCATGAGTTCAAATCCCAGCTCTGCCTCCTATCAGCTGTGTCACCTCGGCCAAATTATTTACCCTCTCTGTCCTTTAGTTCCTCACCCGTAAAATGGAAATAATGACAGTGCCTGCCTTCTTGTGTTGTGGTTAACACACGTAAAGTGCTTAGAACAGTGTCTGGTACATAGACAGCACTCAACAAACACTTGGTGAACTGAATTTTACTCTCTAATGATTCTCTAAGGGAGTATTATTATCTCTATTTCCTAGAGGAGAAGATTGAACATCAGAGAAGTTAAATGACTTGCCCAAAGTCACACAGCAGCAAAGAACAAACCTGGAATTTGTACTAAACTGTCCTGATTTGAAATCCACTTGCCCAATAATATCTACCTTGATATACTCTTGAAAGATCAGATCAAAGCAGCTAACGAATGAGAACAAGCTAATAAATGTGAAAGTGCTCTGTGCACTCTAAGTTATTCATAAACTTAGTAATGACCATGATCATTAGATGAAAGGAAGTGGGCTGTATTCATCTCGAGGAGGAAAAAACTCTCAAGGACAACTCAATTCTGTGACCTAAATGTACAGAAAGAACAAAAAAACAGAGGTTGCTTGTCATCTCCTTTGGCATTTTTGCATCTATGTCTATTTCACTGGTTTGCACTCAAGTTAATAGTTCATACATTGGCCGCCCACCAGGCCATGATCAAGCCCCTTGAGACCAGGGGCCACATTAATCAGCTTCTTCCCACACAACATTTTGCATATCGTAGGTGCTCAGTAACTGTAGCTCAATTGCCACCTCATTGACTCTCTTCCTAGATGCTTTTCCTGATGCCTGACTCTGAATCTCCCATCCAGTGTACCAGGACCACCTGTCCCCCACCCCTCTGCTTTCTAGCTATCCATCCCCGAGGGCAGGCCCCACGGCACTCTCATCTCCACACCACCCCATCCTGGCTCCAGGCCCTGCATATAGAATATGCTCAAAGCACTTGTTCAACAGGTGCAGGTGTGTTTGTGGAACCGAATCTCTCCAGAGCACAGAGCAAAGATAATGAGTTACACACTTCAGCTAGACACAAGGAAGAACTTTATGATCCCCTAAGGCTGTGGGGGGGGTCTGTCTCCAGTCTCCTTATCATACCTCTCTACTCAGGGCACTGCAGCTAGGAACACAGTGCTTTTTTGCTTGGACAAAGGGCCTAATTAGGCCAGGCAGTCCCACCCCTCTTCACTCCCCACCTCCCCACTTCCTGGAGTTCTTACTCAAAATAATTTCAGAGGGTCTTTGTCTCTCTCCTTATTTTTCATAGAGAGTTGTAAAATGAGGATAATAACTGTATCTGCCTCAGAGGTACTTATGCACAGGGGCTGGTCTATAGCCATTTATTAGTACAGTCATGCGCTGTATAACAACGTTTAAGTCAATGACGTATCTGGCAGTGGTCGCATAAGATGAGTACCATGTAGCCTAGATGTGTAGTGGGCTATACCGTCTAGGTCTGTGTAAGTACACTCTACGATGTTCACATAACAACGAAATCATGTAACCACGCATTTCTAGAATGTGTTCTCGTTAAGTGACACATGACTGTAAATAGTAACAGAATGACGCATGGGGGTTTGGGACTATTCAGCACATGTTTTATCTGGGCCACTAGAAGGTAACCTTCTCAGCACTGGGCTTAGAGTTCAAGTCCTCCCTCCATCCCCACCGTGCCTGAGGAAGGCACCTCTGGAGAATGTGAGGGCTGAGGGAGTGGACTGTCTGGGAGGGCGCTCCCAGCCTCCTGGAGTCCTGGTGCAGCTGGGAGGGACGGGGCAGTGGGCTCCCTGTGAGACTCACCAGGACGGCGGGCAGCTTTCCCCGGCGCCGCACGTACAGCTGGAGGGCCAGGCAGTAGGCCAGGGCTCCACAGAGCAGCAGGAGGAAGGCGAAGAAGATGCTGAAGTTGGTCACGGTGAAATCTGCAGGCCCAGAGAGATGCGTTTGTGGCCTGGCACCGTGGGACGCGGAGGGGCAATCCCCAGCCATTCCACGGCCACTCGGCGAGTGACCCAGGTGACTCCCCAGGCTACTTCTATGCCACAACTCTAGACGCGTTTGGGTCCTTGGGAATCCCTGCCTGGCCTTCCCACCTCTGCCCTGAAGGGTTCCCTCACTACCCACTGACTCTTCTTCCAGCTCTCTGCGCACGACTCGCACTACAGCACACGGAGCAGCGAGGCAGGGTGGTGCAGCCGGTAAGCACAGAGACCTTGGCAGCCAGACCTGGGTTCAAATCCCAGCTCCACCACTTACTAATTGTGAGGCTGTGGACAAATTACTCAGCCTCTCTGAGCCTCAGTTTCCTCATCTATAAAATGGGAAAAATAATATCGCCTCCCACATAAGACAGTTGTGACGGACACAGCACTTACCATCTACCAAGTCCTTTACTTATGTTATGATCCTTACAACAACTTAGGAGGTAAAGACCATTATCATCCCTATTTTTATAGATCAGGATCCTGAGGCCCAGAGAGGTTAAGTAACTTACCCAAGGTCGTATACCTCTTAGTGGTAAAGCTGGGATTTGAACCCAGACCTGTACACAAAACTGTTTCTTCGATCATTGAGTGAACGCTGCAAAGCTCTTAAAGCTGCTGACACACAGGTGGGGCCTCGCTCTGCTTAAATGTGGGTGAGGCTTAAATGTGCTCGTGAGTGTCCTTCATTAGCTAAAATGTACTGTGCAAATGTCGGTGTCACTCTGGTCATTTCTGGACTCTGCCCACACTGGACTGGGCACTCCCAGCGCACTGACTGTAGGCATGATTTATCAGGCACTTGTCTTGAGCTGCTAGTTACAGCTTCCTCTGGGCACACCCTGCCTCCCCAGCCAGCCTGTAAGATCCTCATAGGCAGGACCATGGTCTTCACATCTCTATCCTCTCTCCCTCCTTCCTTTCCCAGCACCCGGCTGGGAGCCCAGGGCCTTATTTGTTGACTTGAGCAGCTGTGGTGAGGAGTAGGCTCAGTTCCTCTTCCTCTGAGGGGGAGGAAGGGTGAGGAGAAGGCCTTTTGTGCCCCCAGCTCCAAGGAAGGACAGCAGAGGAATGTGACAAACAGGAACTACCACAGCTGAATGACAGTGGCTGGGGGGGAGGGGGAGATCCTGGGAAGAGCAGCTGTCCTCAAGTGGAAGCACCTGCAGAATCAGGAGACCTGGCTCTGCCACCTAGCCCTAGCAAACTGCTTATACGCACTGAGCCTCCGTTCCCTCATCTCTAAAATGGGACAACAGGAGCTCTCTCATACGGCTGCGTGAGGATGGACAGCTATGTGGGGGCGTGCCCAGCCAGTGCCTGGCAACAGCAGCACTCAACGCATGCTTTTCAGATTGTGCAAGGCCCTTCCTGCCTCCCTTCCTGCCCGGCAAGAGCCCTGACCGACTCACACTGAGGGGTGACCACGATGCACGCCTCCTCTGACCATATACCCTTGTTCAGTCGGGAGCTGACATATGGTTTCACCCTGACACAGAACTCTCCCACTTTTCCAGTGGCTGAGAAGCTGAAGTTTTCATGTTGTACCTTCTTGTTTAGGAACTGAAATGAAAGCAACAACAGCAATAAACAAAATATCCTGTTTCATGGTACAGAGAAGCTGAGAGCTTGGGGGGGGGGGGCATCTAGAGACAATCTAGGCCAACCTGCTTCAGTGTTCTTTTTCTAAGATAACAAACTCTGTACGATGAATGCAGCCCAGGATCTCTGTGATTACCATGACTTATTTTGTATTAAAAGAGAAAAGGAAGTGTTTTATAGATGAAGAGACCTTCCCAGAAAGGGCTGGAATCAACTGTGGTAGAAAAGAAAGAGGATGGATTTTGCAGATTCCAGATCTCCCACTTATGGGAGGGTCCTGGGGCAATGGCACAGCCTCTCGGAGCCTCACTTCCCCATCTATAAAATGGAATAAAATATCCATGTGCAACGGGATTGAAACAATAGTTATAAAAAGTCTTGTGTGGTGCCTGACACCTGGTAGGCAGCGTCTTCCCTGCCACCTGGCAGGAGCACCGGTTTGAGGACTGAGGTCATCTCAACTCCCTCCCCCGCCCCTACGACCTCCCTCTACTCTGCAGCAAAGTTCCCCAGGGGTGCATAAAAGGTGCTTCCAGCCCAGGTGACAGAAGCCCAGGGAGCCGGGGCCTGTGGCCTCAGGGAATCCCATACCGCAGAGTGTCCCTTGCGAACGTCAATCTCATACTCGCGGAAGTGTTGGAAGATACTTTCGTATGTGTCGCCTGCAGGGGCCACCTTGGGCCTGGGGGGCTGGATGGTCCCAAGGATGATGTCCTTGAGCATCTCGAGCTTCACGCTGCCAACTGTCAGAGTCACTGAGTGGGGAGGCAAAACCATGAGGCCTGCAGGCTGGGGACAGCCGGGGTCCCCCACCCATGCCTGGCCTCCAGGGTCAAGCTTTACCCACTCTAAAACTGGGGCCACAGTTTTCCCAACCTGGCAGAACAACTTCCTGGGGAACACATTAAAATTACAGATGCCCCAGGCCCACTCAAGACACAGTGAACCTGAATTTTTGAAGCTAGGCCCTGGAAACATCTATTTTAAACACATTCCCCAGCTAATGCTTCTGCAGCCAGCTGAGCACTGGCCTGTGGGCAGGCATTTGGGAGCCAATGACCACCTCAACCATCGCTTCTGACTGAATTCTGCAGAGCAGGCTTGCCACACACACAGAGCATGGTCAACCCCAGTCTGCAGAATGGAAGAATTACATCAAGTTTGGGGCCTATCCTTTTCTCTTATGTCTCCAAAAAGAGACTCCCAACTTTTCTTTAGTAGCACCTCCCTGCTTCAAAGCCTCACATCCTGACCCCTGGGAGTTCATCCCTAAAATGGGGAAGACCTGATCCAAATTCTCCCTACTGCTGGCTGCCCTACGCTGAGTGATTATGGATTCGCTTCCTCTCCTGGAACCCTACAAGTACACAGGCCTGGCCCTTGTGACTCAAGTCACCCCAAGACTTCTCTTCTGTAGGATAAACAACTCCAGTTCCCTTTTAAATCTTGAACAACTTGGCTATTTTCATCTAAAGCTTCTCCGAAGTCCTTACTCAGGCTTGTTTGGGCAACTAGGTCCCCCGCCACAAAGCTGGGCTGACATGTTCTCTACAGGAACAAAGAGAAAAGTTCTAGACTAGAGCTTCTGGCTGGAGGGTACCCCAAAAACCATGTTCTAGGCCTGGGCAAGGAAAAGCACCTTCATCCACAGAGAAGCGAGTGTTGGTGATGGTCCAGTTGGAGTGCTGGCTTCCGTCCACTGCCCGGACTCTGGCTCGGTAACCATTGCTGCGGTACAGGTCCAGGGTCACCATGGTGAGATCACAGGACAGCACCAGGGTCTGGTTACAGCTGGGGATGGACTTCCAGGACTCTTCTCCATACCTGGGGAGATATCAGGGTGGGCATTGGCAGAGGAACTTGTGCTCAAGCCCACCTCCTTTAAGAGGGATGGAAGAGGCCAGGGGAGAGAGCTCCCACGAGGGTACAGTCCTCAGGGTATTTCCTCTAGTCTAGGGCATCTAATTGCAAGGGGACCTCGCTTGGTTCTGGGACCCAGTAGCAACTTCTCTGTGCTCTAGAAGACTCTTAGATTGGAATATGAGCAGCTCAAATCCAAACTCCTCCAGGAAGACTTGCTCCTCCCTGCAGCACAGCCTAATTTCTCCCTTTTCCCAATTCCATTTGCAGTCAGTGGGGTTTCCTCGTTCACCAACTACGTTATGGATGCTTTTCCTGTTTTTCCAGTAAGATGGAAAAATCTTGAGGGTAAAGGCAATACCCTGGCTTTCTCACCCCAGAGCTCCCAGCACACTACTCAGCACGTGTGAGATTCAATCAATACTTGTCAACTGATAGATATGTGCCAGGGTCCCTCCTGGTGTCACTTCAGTAATGAGAGGTATCTTCCGGTGCCAGAGAAGTGGAAGGGGATGCATTCACGCACTCCCTCACTCACTTCCTTTCCTCACTTTTCCTTACCTCAGGAGCTCCACTTCATAGTAGGTACTCTCAGACTGATTTGGGATGAGTGTCCAGTGGAGAATGTGGTGGAAAAATTCTGCTTCAAACCACACAGATGGAGGGCTGGGCAGTCCTGTCCCCAGGAAGAAGAGTGTCAGTCCCAGAGCTAGCAGGGCCCACCTCCCGGAGATGAAGATGAGGATGGTGATGGTGGCAAGCATCCTAACAGCTCCTGTTTATTGAGTATTGTACTATGAGCTGAGCACTCTGCTAAGTACCTGACGTATATTGTCTCATTTAATTATCGCAACAGCCTACAATTTTACTGGAGAAGAAATGAAGGTTCAGAAAGGTTAAGTGACTTGCCCAAGGCCAATGGGGCTAGTAAGCGGCAGAGTGGAGCTAGTAAGGGGCAGACTGGGGCCTTGAATCCAGATACGTCTGATTCCAGAGCTAGTGCTGTGCCCTGAAATCCCTATCCCGCGCTGTCTGTGGTCAGGAGCAGAAGTGGTGGCTGAGAAGAGCCAAGCTGGGTCTGATGCATCCCAGGTGAGAAGGCAGGTGCTGAGGGCTAAGGGATGTCCACAATGAGCTCTCAGATGAGCTAGTCCCTGCCTCTGCCCAGTCCCTGTCCCTGCTCTAGCCCCATCCCAAGGCTTGCCCCCCATCCACCCTGGCCCCACGCCTGGCTCCAGCCCAAGGCCCCCTTCTCCGGAGGTCTTTGGGTACACAGATACCCTGCTTGTTGGCATCTGCCTATTTCTCTTCACAGGTCTCCTGGGCAACACTCTAGCTGAGTGCTTCCCCCATTCCCCGGCTTCTAGAAAGGCTTTACCTATAGACAGATGCCCAGCATCAGGCCAGGTGAGGACAGACAGAATGAAGCAGCTCTGATTCTAGGTTGGGCTGAGGACATTTCCACAAAGAGCTAGCACCCTTGGCTACAGGTGAGATACTAAATACTGATGCTCATTTTTTTTTTTCGGTGAGGAAGATTGGCCCTGAGCTAACATCTGTGCCCATCTTCCTCCATTCTGCATGTGAGACGCCGGCACAGCAGGATGAGCAGTGCATAGGTTCGCGCCCTGGATCCGAAACTGTGAACCCCGGGCCACCAAAGCAGAGCATGTGAGCTTAACCACTACGCCACCAGGCCGGCTCCCTGAAGACCATTTTCAATTCCTGTCTCCCTCTCCCTCCCAACACACACCATGCACTACGGGAAACGCCAACTTCAGGAGCCTCAAACCAGCACTTGCCAGTGTGAGTTGGGCAAATTGTTTAACCTCGCTGAACCTGTTGTCGCATTTGTAAGAATGCAATAAATACACCTACTTTAAGAATCTTAGGATCAAGTGCAATGAAGTAGGTCAAGGCCAATACCCACAGTCAGCTCCTCTTCTCTCCTTAATCCCTTAATGTCCCCCCTTCTGACAGCGACTCTCTCAGGCTTCGCCTGTTCTCTGACTTATCGTCGTCTCTCTAATAATGCTTCTTTTCTCTGACTGTCATTCTCACTTAGAAAGCACATCTGTCCCTGCCCCTTGCTTTCCGTCTTATACTGTCTTTGATCCTCAAGTCTGTGTCTCGATTTCAAAACATCAGATAGAAAGTGAAAAATGCAGTGGGTCTTTGTGGTGTTTGGGCTGCACATCCCCAGTCAGCTCTCGGTCATGGGAATGACTGACTGCCTGTTTTACTTCGTATTCTGGCGTCACGTAGAAGCAGTTTCAGTCTCTGCTCTCCCTCCCTCTGCTCTTGGTCCCTCCAACTCCCCGCCCTTTCATTCTCTCTCTCTAGAGTTTACTCTTCTCAGTCACAGAAACTTTCCAGGACAGCTGGCTGGGTTAGGAGACTGGGCTAAGGTGTAGGAGGAGGGAGGAGGGAGGCGGGTGGCAATGGGAGTTCATTGGGGCTACAGAAGGAGCAGAGATGATCAGATGGGGGTAATGGGGCGGGGGGAAGAGCTGGGATGGGGTGAGATGGCACCGGGCAGAAATAGGTTAATTGGAGGGAAGGTAGAGTCAGATAGCGGATCAAAGTCATTCCCCAGGGTGACAAGCCGTCCCATTATTTGAACTAGAACAACAAAAAAGCCAGGGCTAACTTTATGACTCGCCCGTGGACGATGAGTGTGTGTGTGTGTGTGTGTGTGTGTGTGTGTGTGTTGTGTGTGTGTGTTGGGGAGGTCATTTAACTTCTCTATCCACACTGCCCCCTCCCCCAATCAATCTCAGCCTCTTCCACTTCCACAACGAGTGAGCCTGAGACCCAAGCTTGCCAGAATAAGGGCGATTCGGGGAGGGGGGGAGATAATGAGCGCCCCTCTCCCCGCAGGCCCAGCCACACGGGGTTCTCCGGGGGACGCAGAACTTCAGCGTGGGGTGACGACGGGTGTGACTCGGGTCTGGCCACCCACACAGCCCAGCGGGCGGGCGCGGAGAGGGCAGGGCAGGGCCGGGCCCCGGAGCCTTACCGTGCGCGCGGGGGCCGAGGCGCAGGCTGAGGAGCGCCGCCAGCGGCACTAGCAGGCGCAGTAGCATCCTGGGCGCGCCGCATCCTCCGGAGCCGGACAGGGAGCCCAAGCCAGGCTGCGCGCCTCTAGCCACGGCTCCGCCAAACTGCGACTGGAAGCTCCGGCCGCCTGCCCCGCCCGCGCCCCGCGAGACTGACGTCAAGGGGGGGGGCGGGGCCTCGAGACGCCCCGCCCCCGAGGCAGAAGCGTCCCGGAGCCGGTGCCGGTCCGGGTACCCGCAGGCGAGGGCGGCCCGCCCCGCCGGTGCGGAGGATGCGGATGCAGGACTGTCAGGGCGGGCGCGGGGCCCCGGCCAACTCTTCCCCTCCCTGCCCCCTGCGCCCCCGGTGCGATCAGGTGAAAGAGATCTGGGTAGCCTGGAGAAGTGCGCGTGTGGGTGTGTCTCTGTGTGTTGGGGCGCAGGTGATGACACCTTGTCCACTTGGGTTTGGAAGGTGGGGTGAGGGTGTCAGAGCTGATTTTACCGGACGAGTAGGGTTGGGATGGAGATGTGGCCGCAGCGGCTTGGAGTGGGGAAGGAAACTGTCCCAGGCGCTCAGGGGACCTGTGAGAGGACACTTGTGTGAGTCTTGGTGTTGCCCTAGTACCTCGGTGTACGGCTCTGAGCTAAACCAGCGGTAAAGTAGGCGGTCCTCTACCAGACAGTATTTTTGGAGGGGTGCCCACGACGTCTTCCCGCCCCTTTTGGTTTCCCTCGCTTGCCTGAAATCTCACGTTTAGAGCTATTTTTACTGCTAGGTAATAGCACTCCTAGAGAACTGGGTAACACATGATCAGTTACTTGCATCTCTGTGTCACTTGGCTCATCTGAGACTTCACTCCAGGTGGACAGAAGATATAAAGGCATCTTTGTCTGCTTCACAAACTTTGCTTCACTTTTGTTCGAGGTGATACTTGCTTCAGAGTATGTGTGCGTATTGAGAGCTGGGGGTCCCACGCTGTTTCTGCAGGTCTACATTGGGACTAGAAAGACCTCACTTTTTGTTGATGGTCAGTGAAGGTAAGGGATGCTCCAGCTTCGTGGAGAGTGGGCCCACTCTCCCAGGCCCAACAGGACACAAGGTCAATCAGGGCTGCCTGAAGGGAACAGTTCTCGTTACCACACTCTCAGAGCAGCTGGGAGGAAGAATCCCACAGCTTTTAATGTGTGAGGATGTTTTTTGGACTCTCTGTTGCTCAACTGAGAGATTAAGAGTGGCCAATTGCTCAGAAGTACTGAGGCATGACCCAAGGGGTGTGGCTGCTTTCTGAAATGACTTCTTAGTTCCCTCTGGCCGGTTTAAGGCAGAGTACACTGTGCTATTTCATTCTGAACTTGTCTTTACTTTTATTTTTTTGTCAAGTTATAAGAGTTTAAAATTCTTACCTCATTACTGTTTTGAAGAAGTATCAGGATTCTTAATTCATTCATATGACAAACATTTACTGCACACTCATTATCAGCCAGACATTGTATTGAGGCTGGGGATAAAATGGTGATCAAAACAAGGTCCCTTCCCCCAACAAATTAACAGTTTAGCTAGAGACAGAAAGTGAACGGAGATTTTAATATGCGGTGGTAAGTACCCTGGGAAGCGAAGTACAGGGTAACGTGGAGACACAGGAAACAGGCATTCGACCAGAACTGGGGTAGAGGATAGGGAAGGCTTCCTGGAGGAGGTGACATCTAAACTGGAATTGAGGGATGAGTAGGAGGTAGCTGGGTGAAGAGCAGATAGGGAGGGTGTTCCAGACAGAGGAAAGTATATACTTAGAGATGAGGGAATATGGCATTTTTCCCCCCCAAAGCCCCAGTAGATAGTTGTATGTCATAGTTGCACATCCTTCTAGTTGCTGTATGTGGGACGCGGCCTCAGCCTGGCCGGAGAAGCGGTGGGTCGGTGCGTGCCCGGGATCTGAACCCGGGCCACCAGTAGCGGAGTGCGCACTTAACAGCTAAGCCATGGGGCCGGCCCTGGAATATGGCATTTTTTAAGAACTCTGTGAAGTGGATAAAGTAGCGTTCCTGTTTTAAGATGAGAAAACCCCTATGGCTGACATACGTTAACGTTTTGGTGAGGGCAGAGTCAACATTTGAATGTAGGCTATTCCAATGTATTCTGTTGCCTCATAGAAAATACCCAGAACAGGAGGTATGTCAGACACGTAATTACCATATCTTTTTTTTTTTTTTTAAGAAATTCATATGTTTGTTTTGGTTTGTATTCAGTTATTTATGCTCAGTGTTCCCGAAAAGTCCACCCTAAAGTTCTGTGATTTCTGATATTCGTACCAGTATCAGGACAGATAATAGAAAGTAATTATAATAGTACCTTTCCATTATTGAGATCTTACTATGTATTAGGCACTATGCTAAATAATTGTAGCAGAGACTGGCTAAATGCTTAACAATCCCATTTCCTCTTCCTGGGCGCGCAGGACAGCTATATTTCCTAGCTTCCTTTGCAATTAGGTGGAATATGTGACTGGGTTTTAACCAATGTAAAGTTGAATTGATGGGTGCCACTTCATGGCCTAGCCTCTAATTCTGTCTTGCCATCTGTCATCCAGGTGGAGGGGGCCCAGTGGAGGCCTCCAAGGGGATGGAAGGAGTTAGGTCCCTGAATCACCTCTTGGAGGGGAGCTATGCAGGAAAGACCCCCAATCTACATCAGCCTCACTTGAGTGAGGAGTGAGCTCTTGTTGTATCCAGCCACCGAGGTTTTGGAGTTTTTGTTACAGTAGCTAGTGTTAACTACCCTGATTAATGCACAAACGTTGTCTCATTTAATCCTTATTACTGCCCGTGAGATTAGCATTATTATCAGTGTTTGGTGGATGGGGAAGTGAGGTCAGAGACTACATCACTTTCTACGTCACTTAGCCAGCAGTGGCAGAGCTAAGGTTACAGCCCAGGTCTGTTTGACTCCAGAACTCGTGCTTCACCACTATATAAACAATACCCTCCCCAGTCTTGGGAGAGTTCTTGGAAAAGACAAAAGACTAGTGAGTTGAGAAAGAGAGTAAGAGAGAGTGAGGGCGGGGGAGGAGGAACAGCTCAGGGCTGAGTGTTGTGCGTAGAGGGAATGTGGTGAACCCCAGGGAACTGTGGACAGAGCTGGGTAGATATCTTGCCCCCATGGCCACACCGGGAAATTTTTAGGGCAAATTTTGAGCCTTGGACGGCTCCACTGTCTCATTTTCGCTTTACTGTATCTTGGTCTTCAGGATGATGCTTCTAAATGCGCATCACTGGGGGGTAGTATGGGCATCTGAGAGGGTAGGAAGTCCATGCTTGAGTGTGGTAACAGTGACAACTTGCAGTTTCTGTCCCGGGACTAGGAATTAGGGAAGTTCCAGGCCTTGTGACTAGTGTCAGAGCTATACATAACAAGGAGAGAAACCTAGACGGAACTGACCCCGAGAAAGAGACAGAGAGAAGGAAACTGCCTGGGGACAGTCATTAGGTCAAGGAGAATCACAGATGTAAGGTGAAGGGGCCGCCAAGGGCCAGCCCCAGCCCCGGGAGGAGCCTTCTGGCTGTTGTCTACAGGACCTAATTGATGTCCACATCCATTCACTGTCTGCCTGACTCCCCCCTGGATGAATAGAAAAGAGCTCAGAAGGGACAGAACCCCCTTCTAAATGTCCCTCTCTACTCTGTTTAGATGGTGACTCAGGTTTGAATGGGGAGTCATTTGAATTTTAGCTGGGGGGGTGATAGGCATCCCTGAAAGGTTTTGGGCGGGAGAGGGACATGACGGATTTGCATTTTAAATAGAAGAGGAAACCCAGAACATGGAGGTGACTAGCCAGGGTGACTTTCTTCTTAGTGGCAGAATCAAAACCCTGGTCTCCTGATTGAGGTTCACTTCTCTTTGCCTGACATGCCACAGCAGCTGAGCCTGTAGAACTCTGAGGACTGTGTGAGGGTGTTGTGCCCCTCAGCCTAGAGGAAAGGGGAAGAAATATTGCTCTCCTAGGTGAGGGACCTCCCCGGCTGATTCCCTTTGAATCAGTAGAGCTGGGACTAACAGCCTTCTCTTGCCTGCAATCTGCCCGGGACCTCATTCTCAGTGAGTGCCCAGTGTTCAGAATCCTGCAGGCAGGAGCCCGGGGGTCTGGGAAACAAGGGACCTAGTTCTAGCCCCAGCTCGGCCACTGCCAGCTGTGTGCCCTTGGACCAGTCCCTGTACCTCTGTTAGCCATTGACAAGATTGGAATAATTGAAACCTTCCTGGGCTGTTGTAAGGCCAGATGCACAAGTGTTCTGACAACTGAAAAAGGCTACCCAAATGAGAGGGGATGTGGTTAGTAGAAATATTCAGCAGAAAGGCCTCATACTGACTAGAGGGATCCAGCCCCCACTCCCAGTGTCTGTGTTCACTTGGCCTCTCTGCAGGCTGTGTGTTGTGCTAAGCCCCGCCCCACCCCAGGATGACTGGGCTGTTTGAATGTACCTGGGATCCCTCTCTGCCTCCAAAGCGATTTTCAAGGAAATCATCTTGTCAGGAAGAATGAGGACCTAGCCCATTGCCATTGCTTTGTGAACTCAGGATGCAAGAGGTTAAGAATAGAACATTAACAAAAATATCCCTTGTCATTTCAAGAAGCAGCTGTGTCTTCCTTCTGTTGTCCAGAGGACTTTGATGTCTCCAGTTTTTAGGGGTGACATTTTCTTTTAATTCTAAATTTAGCAGTCTGAGCCCCCATTCCACAAAAGCAGGAAGTCCATCTGCTCTTGGCTTCCCACTGCACATAACTTGTGGGGTTCTCCAGGGAAGCCTCACATACCCAGAGCCGTCCTGGTGGTCTCGTAGGTCACCTCTTAGTTTCACGATGGTGGCCTCTGGGCTGAAGCTGCTTGCTTGAAGCATGGACACAGGCCCATCACAGGGCCCGTAACATTTTAAAATGCTGGTAGAGGCTTGCAAATAACAAAAGTACCAAAGAGATAGTTGATAACTACTTCAAAAAGTAGCTACTCGGAGCTTCCACCAGTTCAGTCCCATCTGAAAACCTTCCTTAAGCTCTGGCAGTCTTTGTGGCAGGGAGAGATCACCTAACTTCCCACCTTTGGAAATCTCTGAACCTCTCTGAACACCTTTCTTG